ATAATTACTTGTCATGAGACCTTGGGTAAGTCACTTAACTTCTCTGGGCCTTGGTTTTTCTCATCTTTAAAATGAAGGCTGTAGTATCTACTAAACAAGAGTCGTTACAAATAAATCAGAAGACACGTTCAGGCCTGACACGTAAGAGATGTTCTACAACCTTCAAGGGCTGTCCACTTCCTAACAAATAAGATCCACACATGCTTACAAGACAGTCAAACCCATCTTTCAAGTCCAGTAGCCAGTCGCTCCCCATCTGCTCCTGTGTAAGCCCACTAGAGACCCTTCAGATACACTGTGTGACCCTGCCTGTTTCGTGTTATGTTCTCAGCCTGAAATATTCTTTTCCCAAATCTCCCCCTGACAATTTTCTACCAGTTACCAAGGTCCAGCTCAAGTATCACATCTTTTAAGAAATGCCTAATATGAAATAATCTTTTCCCTCCGGATTTTATTTGTGCCTCTCTTATACCATGTATTCCACTGATGTTATTTATACAAAAGCTTTTCTTCTTTATTAGGATGTAAACACTTTGAGGGCCAGAATTAAGCATTTTGTCCACTACATGGCTCAGTACCCTACTCTAAAAGAAGAATAAAAAAAATAATAGTAGTAACACTTAGAATTCTGAAATTGATTTCCAATACTATTCATAAAATTATCCCAAATAACTTACATAGCCATCTATCTTATCTATATGCTCCGTATGGAAATCAAATAAAAATATTCAATAAACTGGGACATGTCTAAAGAGAAATATGACTTAGATTATGTAACTCAACACAAATAAGAAACAAGACTTTTGTTAGGTCTCTTTTGTGGAGAATAACAAGATTATAATAACAATTAAATCCAATCAATTCAAAAGGATAAACCTTATCGTTTTATTTATTTTAAAGATAATTTACACAAATTATCAAATAATTCCATTTCAGGAACACTCAAACCTAACAAATGATTATATGCATGAACAAAATGCAGCACAAAGCTATGTGAATGAAATTTCCAAGATACTTTACAAACATTAACTTGAGTTGCTCATTTTTGCCAAACCAGAGCATGTATGTAATTCCTGAATACTAAACAGGAGAAGAAATAAACAAGCAAATCATACATAAAAGGAGTGATCAAACAGTCAACTACAGTATTCAAGCACAAAGTGACATTTTGAATGAATAAAAGACTACATTACAGCGTTTTTGTCACACATCTATTCCAGAACCTAGGAGATACACCATAGAGTTGCATATAGTATACAGATGCAAGCAAGTACAAAGTGAAAAAACAGCAGCGAAGATTAGACAGAGTGGGAAGCACCTGCTTCCAATTTGTCTGGGGTATGTTGTAAATAGTACCTGCTTCCTTGGATGGAAAAGTTCTCAGAGGAAATTGCACTACTGCATTAGTGTGTGTGCACACATATGCTTACGCTCTCATGTAGCTACACCAAAAGACATTACATGGGTCACAAAATTCAAACAAGAGCAAATCTGGGTAAGTATCAAGATCAATGTTTATGATGCATCCTTGGTAAGACGCTACAAAAAAGAATAGATTTCAGCATAACTCAACACTCTTCAGTCTTCCCTGTGTTCACATAGCTTGTTTTTCAAACTGAACTAAGCAAGGACCCTAATGCAGTCTAGGGGAAGAGGCAGCATTTTTACTTTGGGTTTGATATCATCTCTCCAAGTACTGAATCCCTGACCTCTGGGCAAAATAATTAAACCAATTACTTCACATTTTAAGATATACAATCTATATCTACCTATATCTATATCTATATCTACTCAATTTCTAGGCCGTAAGGAGACTACAAATAATTTTCTATCTATTTGCAATAATAAACATTACTTGCAGTTGACTAGACTGAACATCTCTCTCTCTTTTGGCTTTTTAATTCTTATGAGGTTTTAAGCTGACCATTAAGAAATCCCTACCAAATCCAACTCCTTTATAAGGGACTACACAATAGCCCTATTTCGTATCATAGACCTCTTTAAGGTCTGATGGGAACTAAGGGCCCTCCCACAGAAATACCTACTTAAGTACATACAGACATAAGATTCTACATACCAATGTCGGGGGCTGTTTTAGACTTCCCTAATGTCTGGTGAACTTTGACTTATCTTACTCACTTTCTCCAAGACCCCCGGGAAGTGTTTCCAGAGCCTAAATTTGTATACAAATCCCAACCCCAAGCCCCCTCCAGTTCTACTACCTATCAACAGGATAAAGCGCCTTTCCTGTACTTTTTCTTCATAAACCCATAATTCTCTTGCAAATTAGATGAATGTATGCATCATGCTGTACTATTTTAACTGATTTTCTTATTTCCTTCTCCACTGAAGTGTCAGCTCCTTAAGGCCAGAAACTGTCAGGTCTTATTTTATAGCTCCAGAAACTTGTACCACATCTTGTGCAAAGAAAATATTAAATATCTGTCATTCAAACAAAGCCACGGGTTGATAACTGTTGAAGAGGGGCAACAAGTACCTGCAGAGCAGGGCAGGAAGGGTGTTTCATTAGACTAGTCAGTCTTCTTTTGTATACATTGGAAAATGTTCCAATATTAAGGAGGAAAAGTCTAGAAATGAGAGACTTGTAGCTACACAGCAGTAACCTCCACATACATGAAGGAACTGAGGAACAAACATTTTGCCTCAGAGAACTGGGATCAATGAGCAGAAACCAAAATTTTGGCTTCACGTAAGAACTCCCTAATAATTTAAAGTGTCTAAAACTGAAGTTGGTTGCAAAGCAGAGAGACTGGGCTGGGTACAGGCATACCTCGGAGACACTGTGGGTTCAGTTCCAGATCATTGCAATAAAGCAAATAACGCAATAAAGTGAATCCAATGGATTTTTTGGTTTCCCCATGCGTATAAAAGAGTTCACACTATACTGTAGCATTAAGTCTAAAAAGACAATGTATATACCTTAATTAAAAGATACTAACCACCATCTGACAACACATGGTTACCACAAACCTTCAATTTGTAAAAAAGAGTATCTGAGGAGCAATAAAACAAGTATACCTGTGTATTCAAGCAGGAGTTGCCATTCACAGTGGATTACTACTTTAGGGGATTAAAGCACCAAATGGGAAAAAATGAATTCTAAGGGAACTTCAAATCTGTATCTGAAAATAGCTTATTATCTTAAAACAGATACACAGAAGTCAATATAAAGATGACTACTGAATTCATAAAACATCAATAGAGAATGAAGTCCTTTCTCAAAACTGATTTCCTTGCAAGCCTCATCTTGCAGGCTTGCACTCTCTGGACTCCAGCTGCCCTGCCTCTGGCAGGTGCTCAGTGTGCCCTGCGGCCTCTGTTGCACATGTTGCTTCTCCTGGAATGCTCTTTAGATAGCAGCTAAGGCACACTTCCTGGGGGAAGCCTTTCCTACCTGACCAAATCATGCTCTCTGACAACCCCCATCCTTTTCTAGAGAGCAGAGACCCGTGTTTTTGCTTTCCATTGTATCCCCAGGGCCTGTCTAAGAGCCTGGCATGGTGTAAGAGCTCGATAAAAATTTGTTGAATGGGTGAATGAATACAACATTCCCTATGAACCTAGTATCTTCATAAATTATGATCTAAACTGAATACAAGTCAACTTGCCAAAATATACCCAAGCTATTTCTTTATCACAAGTGATTAAACTACCTCCCTAGAGGCCAAGCACAATAAGAAAATAGTCAGCAAGCTCCCAAGGCAATCTTTTTATACTTGTTTTATTATGAAAATATAACACATTTTCAATAACTTTAAGCTTCACAACACACACACACAAAATATTTCCCAGAACTCTTGTAAGATGCTGACAAGCCAAATGATTCTCAAGTCAAACTGTGGGTTATTAAGCTGAAATAATATATTACTTGAATGTGAAGTTTAATGAGGACATTTAGGTAATGAAGAAGCAGTGAGAGCTTCAGGACAGATGGACAACCATCAGGTCATATAAAATATTTCCAAATGTGTGTTTATAAGAAATATATGAAAATGCCCAGCACAGGAATACTTTCTGTTGCTAAGAAACACTGAACACTGATGAGTAAATTGTCTCTCTTACAAAGGTCAACTGCAATCATCTCATTTATCAGTGCAACTTCTTTTAATGATTATTCATTTTTACAAAATACACTAAACAAAAAGCTTTACAAAATATACTGAACAAAAAGGAAGACATAAATTGTGTTTAACATTCAGAAATCACTGATGTATCTAATGTACACAGAGAAACTGGTATTTGGCTTCCATCAAGTGTTTTTTAAGGACAAAGTTACAAGATCCTACCTTTAGCATTAAGATTATGAGAAAAAAAATTCTATTAAATTACTAAAAGTACAAAAACAATTCTATCTGCATCAAAACAATCACTATGCCTAATACACAAAATATTTGAAATTCCAAATAAATAAACTCTATAAAAACGAAACACTAGATTTTAGGACTATTTTATTTTTACTTGGGAGAAATTACCCACTACCATCTTATTCAGAACTCTGTATTTCCTGATAAGTTTTAATTAGAGCCAACACTGCACTACGTTGAAATCCGTTAGACTCAACCCTGCTTCTTATAAACTTTAGCTCTGATTTTGGACCCAACATGCACTTTCCCACACTTTCACTCAAGTCATCCACTCCATTATTAGTACCAATGCTGGGCTCAGTCCCTCCTCCACTTCAGGAACAAACGACAAACTAAGGAAAAGATGAAAGGAAATCTTTGGACTGAGAAATGAATTTCAAAGAATGATTATTTTTCAGTGAAATAAAATTTACTTTGGAGATGTTGGAATGTAGATGTGTAATGTGTAAAAGATTTAGCCTAATGCCTGACATTTGTTAAGTACTCAAAAGTCGGAACTATTATTACAGTGCTTCAATTTAAAAATTGATTTCCTCTGATATTAAAAGTAAAAAATAACATAAGTGATTTTCTAACATTCCAAATTTACAAATTAGAAAACACAAGACTCTAAAAATCCTTTAACTTTTTATTATGAAAAATTTCAAACATACACAACAGTAGAGAGAAGAGTTTAATGAACCATATCACCTAGCTTCAACAATTATCATCACTCCATCAATTTTCTTTCCTCTTTAGGAAATCTATTCTTGAACAATGCAAAAGCACAGTGAATTGAGACACCCTTTTTAAAAGTGTACCCAACTTTTGACCATGCAGAAATGATGGGTTTCATGCAAAAATCTTTATTTTTGTCTCTTACTGGTCTATTAAACACATTCAGCAGAAAACCGACCTCTGCCTTAGAGAAAAAAATTCAAGTAATCCCCATGACTTCCCTGGTAAGTAACAGAAAATCATATGATCACCAGAAATGGTAAGTCTCAGTTCAGTAACTTAAAATAACTAGTCTCAGACAGACAATTGGGGAAATCTGAATATGGACTATATATTATATAATGTTGTATCAGTGGTGAAGTCTTGAGTGTGATAACGGCATTATGCAGGAGATTATTTTAATCTTTAGGATAAAAAAGCTGAAGTATTTAGGGGTAAAGTGTCATTTTCACATGGTACAGCCCCATTCAACTGGCCAAAACAAAGCATGCAGTATATATAATATATACTTGTAGCCAAATGTTATTAACTGGTAAAAGGTATGAAGTGTTTATTAGATTACTATTTCAACATTTCTGTAGGTTTGAATTTTTTCAAAATTAAAGACTACATCCAAATAATAGTCAACACTCCAAAGTTCAGTTAACATTAAATCTTATGTTCTCCATTCAGCTAGGGTCTGCTAGAGCTAGCCACTGTCAGTGAGGGAAGGAGCAGGATCCTTCTCTTCTCACCAAAAAGTTTCTCTTCTGCCATCTTACTGAGTTCTGAGCCCACCCGGACCAAGGTCAGGGAGGGGAGAAGAGGTCAGGCATAACAGGACAGTTCTTACTTGACTGCTACTGTACCAAAATGACCTAGGGCTTGGTGGATATGGCAGGTGTTTAAAGCTGATTTTCCTTCTCTTGGGCAGCGTGCATTCTTCCAAGGGTATGATCCACCAGTTACAAAACTTCCCCCTGGTCATACCCCACAACTCCTTACTGCTGGGATCTTCTTTCCCTGGCAGAAAACTTTCTTGGGCAGGATCCCTTTTCAAATAACATCAGGTTGATATTCATATTCTGGGATACATACATACACTTTGACCTGTTGGAAGAAAGCAGTGCAATTACTTCTCAAACCCAGCCCCACTGCCACAGAACACGTTAGCTTTCTCAGGCATGAGTCAAGCATCAATCTCTTGTGACTCCAACTGTAGATCCATGTACTACAGTTGAAACTCCTCTCACTAGGCTTGGTGAAAGATTCAGATCTCTAACTTGTGACAGGCAGGGCTAAAACACACAGCACTCCAATGACATTCCAGACAAATTTGCCTAGTGGAATCTCTTCCTCTTTTGATATCCTCTATGTGAGTGAAGGGATTCAAAGGTCACAAAACTAGCTCTTCACAACTCTGTATATGGTGTAGCACTTCCCTGGAATATAGACGTATCTGTTGAATACTGATGCCTCAACTGAAAATTCCGGTTTATCATTCTACCTCTCAGGAACTCTGTTATTAGGTCCATGTTTTTTAAGCAAATACAAGTATTAAATGCCAGGTTCCTTAAACTGTGGCATTAAATTACTAATCAAGACTTTTGAAGGTCATTACCATTCTTCCGGAGGCAGGTCGTTTTTATCTTTTTAGTGCCAACACTAGTACCCAGCATATAATGGGTCCTGAAGAAAATGTTTTTTAAAAGGATGACCTCAGCAATGGCAGTGGGTATAAATAAATGGAAGAGTGTATAAAATTAAGTAATGACAGATGACTTTCACTATCTGAAGAACTATCTGAAAATAGACTGCCCCGTCAGTGAAAGTTAGGCTAAGCAACACACATTTAGTCCTCCCTAATTTATACGCCTAGATATAGGCCTGTGAGAACCTAAAAGGACAACCAAACACCAGAGTGTTTCTCCTCTGTTCTACCGTGACACCCATCTCCATGATTATTCATGGCATACAGAAAATATCCGTGAGTCCACCATTTGTATACAAGCCACTGACGGCTTATTTGGTTTACCCATGCCACCATAAATAGTGCCTATCCTCGATAAAAAATTATGTTGATCAATACAGGTTAAAGTAAAGGATTCTCATAAAAGTTAAAAGAAAAGGAGAAAGATATGAATTACATCAGAGGATGAGTACTGCACCACCATCTCAGATTGCCCATAGCAATCCCCGACTTAACTGGGTGAACACTACTTAGATCAAATGATGGCCTCTTTATTTCTGTCTGTTCCCTACTCTAGAATTATAGCCATGCAGAAAGATCTATTTTGGGGGCAGCATGATGCCTGCAGTAGTGCACTCTTACATATATTCAGTCAACAAGTCACACTGGAGAGCTACTACTTTAATACACCCTAAAGGCTTTCTATTTTGAAGATTACTTATGTAAATGCTCAGTAAATATTACAGAACATCAACTGTGTGCCAGGCTCTGGGCACTATAGGAGAATCAAAGATGAGTAACGCATTCAATGAGACTACAATTTAATAAGAATTTGACAAATATTCAAAGGACTGTAATATCCTAGTAAGAAAAGTACCACCATAAAAAAATGAGAGACTTTGAAGAATGATTAGGATTTGGACAGGAGGAGGTGAAGAAGGGCTTTCAGCAAAGTAAAAAGAAAAAGATGCAAGTATAGGAATGTCGACCAAGACACTACAGTATTTGTTGCGTATAAAAAAGTAGAAAATAAAGGTAAAAAAAGCAGACTAAAGCCTAACTGAAGAGGGCCTTCAGTGCCAAGGTTAAATATGAAAGAAAGTTTTAATAACAAAAACAATAAAAAATAAATTAAAAATAAAACACAGTTTCAAGGAAGAAAAAAGCTACTAGAAGTTGAAATTGGTCTTGATATGGATAAAACACTAGAGGAGGAAAAACAGAAATTAGGAAAATAAGGTAAGGAGCATTTTAATAGTTTAAGGCTACTGACATCTGTGTAACATAGTTAAAAAGAAGAAAAGTCATCAAGAAAGGACTGACAATATTCAATTATATTTTAATGATAGGATAATATACAATAAAAATATTTCTCTAGATGTACATAAAAATTTTTACTTTTTCTTAAATTTCAATACTAAAAAAGGGAGTAACAAGGAAATTCTAATGCTGGCTATGATGGAATAACTGGCACTAGATGTGTCCTCTTCCCACCATAAATCAGCCATAAAACTGTAAAACTACATATAAAACTGTTTTCAGACTCTGGACAATATGGCACAGAACTGTGATCGCTGAAGAAGGGAAACCAAGAAGATGAGCCCTACGGTAATCACCCCAGTTTTCTAGATGGAGGTACTTGATGTACCATGGCACAGAGATAAAAGGTGCAGGTGGTCAAGATGAGTTAAGAGAACAGATATTAGAGTCTTAATGAGGCTGTGGCTAGAATCTGTAAGGATGCAGTGTATCAGACAAAGTAGCTGTGCACAGAAAAAGCTCCAGATATCTACACAGGGATCCCATATGTACGTTCATGGTGAATATTATAACATTACCGCATGAGGCTGGTAGAAGAACAAGTACAAGAGTGCAATAATCTTAACACTACAAAAAGGTCACATAGGCCTAGAAGCAGTCAAGATTAGAACAAGAAAGTAGAGAGTGTTCATTGATCAAACATGGCATTCAAAAGAACGTGAAGGGTCACACCTTAATAATAGGATTAAATTAGCTCTAGAGTAAGGCTACTCAAGAACAGTTCTAACAAAGCTTCAAAACCAGTCTCAAGAAGATCAAGATAATCCGCAAAGAACTTAAAACTGCCTGCTAAAACTAATAATCTTTTTAAAACGGCAATAAAATTGGGATACTCAATAATACAACATTCACAATGCCCAACAGCCAACCAAAAATTACAACACATGTGAAGAAGAAAAATGTGACTGATAACCAATACAAAACAATAGAAAACAGATCCAGAAATGGCAGAAATGACAGAACTAGTACATTAGGACTTTAAAACAGTAGGTACATTAAAAGAGTACTTAAGAATGTACTTAGAATTACTTCAAATGTAACATAATGATGAATGAATGAAAGCTATTTTAAAAAGTAGAACTTCCAGAGATGAAACTGGAGGGGAAGGTACAGCTCAGTGGAAAAGTATGTGCTTAGCATGCACAAAGTCCTGGGTTCAATCCTCAGTATCTCCATTAAAAAAAAAGAGAGAAAGATAAAATTTTAAATACATAAATAAACTTAATTATGCCCCCCCCAAAGAATACAAAAGCAAAAACAAACAAAAAACAGAGATGAAATCAAACTTTCTTTAAAAAAAAATTTACTACATGGTCCTGTGACAATGTAGAAGATAATTTAACTTTAAGGCATAAAGATAAAAACTGTCCATATAGAAGCAGAGAAAAACAGGCTGGGAAAAAAAGTGAACTGAACTTCAGTGACCTGTGGAATATCTAGTCATCAGTCATATATGTAACTGGAATGCCAAAAACAGAGAAGCAGAAAAAATTTCTGAAAAAAAAAAAAACAGCCTAAAAGTTTTCAAATTTGAGGAAAACCATAATCCCACAGATCCAAGAAACTCAATGAACCTCAAGCAGGATGCATACAAAAAAACATTGAGACACATCATATTAAAAAAAAAATCAAAAAACTGGTGGTAAAAAGAACATCTAAAAAGCACGAAGGTTTAAAACACACACACACATTAGGATATTGGATTCACAGGAGGAAAAAAATTTAAGGAATCCCATTGACTTCTCATTCAAAGAAAAGGGGGGGGAAATGTAAGCCAGAAGACAATGGAAAGATATTTTTTAACTAGCTGGAAGAAAAAAGAAAAAAAAAAAAAGCTGTCAAGGTACAATTTCAAAGATAAAGGCTAAATAAAACATTTTTAAGTTAAAGTTGAGAACTTTTTGAGAGAAGATCTGTGCTATAAGAAATGTTAAAGAAGTTCATCAAAATGAAGAAAAATTATACTACATGGAAGCACGGATCAACATGAAGGAATGAAGACCACAAGAAATATGCAGGTAAAAATAACAGACTTTTCTCTCATTTTTAATTCCTCTAAAAGAAAACTGACTGTTTAAAGAAAAAAATAAAGAACAACTGTGATACTTTACATAATATGCAGAAGCAAAATATATAACAATACTACAAAGAACAAGAGGGAAGAAATGTCATATATTATTATAAAACTCTTATATTATACATGATGGCATTATTTAAATAGATTGTGATGTGTATTATAAATCCTATAGGAACCACTAAATTAAGAAATAAAAAATATACAAAGATGTGTAGCTAATAATCCAAAAGGTAAAAATAAACACAAAGAAGATACTCAGCTAATCCTAAAGAAAGCAGGAAAAGAAGATTAAGGAATAAAGAACAGATGGGACATATTTCCAGTGAAATACATCTATTCAGAAACTTTGCACATTTTTAACTGTTATTTGTCTTCTGATTACTGAATTGCAGGAGTTATTTGTATATTGTCAATAGAAGTTCCTTACTACAAGCTGGCAGATACTTTCTCCCATTTGGTGGGTTGGCTTTTCACTTTCTTGATGGTGCTGTGTAAAGTACAAAAGTTTTTAATTTTTATTAAGTCCAATTTATCTATTTTTTTCTTTTGTCACTTGGGCTTGGGTATCTTCGAAGAAGGCTTTCTTAACCTAAGGACATGAAGATTTACTCTTATGTTTTCATTAAGTTTTATAGTTTTAGTTCTTACATTTAGGTCTATAATCCATTTGGCATTAATATTAATAGATGGTATAAGAAAAGGGTCCAACTTTATTCTTTGCTAATGGATACACAGTTATCCCAACATTTGTTAAAAAGACTATTTTTTCCCTGTTAAATTATTTGGCACTCTTGTAAAAAATCAACTGAACATTAATGTCAGGGTTTATTTCTGAACTCTCAATTTTATTCCACTGCCCTATATATCTGTCATTATACCAGTATCACACTGTCTTGATTACTGTAGTTTTGCAGTAAGTTTTGAAATCAGGATGCCCTTCACCTTTGCTCATCTAATTTTAGGATCTGGTTTTCATTTGGCTGGGGGCAGGGGGAGGAGGAGGGGTAGACAGCAAGGATTTTG